CTGAGGAATTCTGGGAGTTGAAGTCCACAGGTCTTAAAGTTGCCGAGGTTGAGAAACACTGCCTTGGACACTAGATCAGGGACAGGGTATAACCTTTTCACCTAGATTTATTCCTAGAATTTTTTTCTCAATGCCTTGAGTTGTTCAGTTCTGTTACATGAAATCAGTAATAGAAGTGCAACATGCACGAACATATGCCTTAGTTTCAACACTAACCAACTGGTAATAGCTTTGGAGACAGGTGGCTGGATTTCAGTACCAAGTTGGACTTCTGCAATCTGTGTTAGAAAGTAAGAACTACACTACCATTGCTGTCTGTTTCCAAAACCAATCAATCTCTCCCTGTAGCATTTAAGTTTTGGAACCTTGGCTCTTTGCAATCTAACATCTAAGGCTCCAAATTAATTGGGGGGGGGGGAGATCAAGGATAACAATTTGGGAGAGGTCCACTCCCTTACTGAGTTAAAAAATAGATATTTCCCACCTCCTCCAACCTGTTTTTAAAAGCCTGCCATCTCAAAGGCATCGAATCTTCTCGTGACTCTAAAAAAGATAATCCAAACCTTCATAGAACCAGAACCTCATAGACTTGAGAATACAAGTCTTACTAGAAATCACCCTCCAAGACATTTCTTCTTTTAAAATAGACATTACATTGGATGGGAGACACTTTTTCCCATCCTAGTGAATGGTAAGAACAGATGGCTGATTCCCTTTTGTTATATTAAATGAAAAAAACCCTTGTCCCATTTCTTACTTACATTGTGGCCAACACAGTCCTGGCTTTGGAGATTTGTGGCTGTCTTCTGCAAAATCAACTGAAGGGAACCTGTTTTATACTGTTTCCAAGGGACCATATGGATCACCTTATCTTGGGAACAGGCCCGCTGGGTAAATATCATTAGTTTCTTAGAGATTTCTTGGATTGGCATTTTCCTGGAAGTCACCCAAGTAACCCTCTCTCCCTTTCCTGGCTACCTGCTGTGGGGGCCCCAATTTGGCTTTGGGGGAATTCTAGGATAACAATGTCCTTGTGGCTAACTTTGCTGAGGATGGGTATTTCTTTGAAGGTGTCTCCCAACTGAAGGGCTTATAACTGGTTTGAAGGAAGCAATGCTTTGAAGTTGTCCATCAATAGTAAATTGAGAAGGCCCACAGCTTTCCTAAGAAGACCCACAGTTTACCTGAACAGCTGGCTGAGCTGGTGTACCACAGGCCCTCTTTAGTATTTGATATTTTTATTTAATGCTTCCTACACTATACATCAATATTTTGAAAACTCTCATGTATTTAAAAAAATGAAGAGTAAGAAATAAAAACAAAACTAAACAGTTTAATTCAGTATTTATATAGGGAAGGCCCGGAAGAAAGATAAAATGACAGGTACCTTACACATTTTAGAAAAGAGAATATTCTACAGTGCAGGTGCCACCTCAGAGAAAGCCTCCATGGGAGTGCAAAAAATGCACTCTGCCAATCTTCACACATGAAGCAGGACTTCCCATGTTGTAGCAATTGTAGCAATCGTCCAAATCTGTAATGGTGAAGGTGGGAATTGACAGGCTCTTGATCCCAAATTTGTGTATGTCATATGCAAACTTTTGAATCTTGTTTGGAAGTTAACTAGCAGTCCGTGCATATACATATACTGAACAATCCGGGCATATCATTCTGAATTATGGTACTCTGAATATGAGGTCACCAATGCACGAACAGTATATTTCCAGGAAAAGTCACAGCTGACGTACTAGTTGAAGCTGATAATAGGTGCTCTTGGCCACTGGAGTCGCTTGGCCTCCAATGGCAATGATGACGTTATGACCTTCTCCAGCTCAAGTGTTTGCTCTTTCTAAAAGAGTGCAACCCCATTTTGAACAGTTAGATGTCCTGCTCCCAATTTTTGTACCTGTTCTGTTTCAAAGTAGCAGACACAGTTGCTAAAGAGCAGAAGCAGATAACAGCAGACAATACTATCTCCTCACTCAGGGCCCCACTCCGCCCCAACAACAAAACAAGGTTTCTGAAGATATCACTGATGGAAACATTGGACTAAACATAGGGTATGAACGTGTGATGCATCTTCCCATGAACATTCCTCAGGTCCATAGCCTTTTCACTCGATAAGGTACTGGAGGCCCCATGGTGCAACCGAGAGTCTAGGATGCGAGCAACTTCATATTCAGGCTCACCATTGACTGAAATGGGAGGCGGAGGTGGAATGGAAGGATGAAGAGAGCTTGCTGGAGCATCAGGAACCAGAAGAGAATGATGAAATACAGGATGCACTTTGATCGAGGCGGGTAGCTTGACTTGGTATGCAACTGAGTTAAGGACGGCTTCGATGGGGAAGGGATCAATAAACTTGTGATCCAATTTCCTGCATGGACGTGGCATGGGTAAATGTCGAGTAGAAATCCAAACTTGATCTCCCACTTTTAAACTGGGTTCAGGAACATCTTGGCTCGACGGCAAATAGAACAGGAAGCCGTGTAACAATTGACATCATCACGAACCTGTGGCCACCAAGTCTCTGGACACAAGTTGTAGAGTTTTATATTGTCCAAAATGGCCAGCAGCTGGAGTATCACGGCAAAGAAGAACTCTCCCCTACAAGGGTCCAGCAGGAACACAGTAACGCCCCTGGAACTGCAATTGGCCCTGATCAAATGACCAATTACTAGGTTGGTTCTGGGGCAAATTCTAAATTTCCCGTGTGCAGTCCTGAGCATAAAGATCCTTACACCATTGTTCTTGCAAGTCCTTCAACCAATCCTCAAACTTGGCAATAGACTTGTATCCACGATTTTTAGCTTTTCTCTGCTGCAACCGCCCATCTCTTTGGAGACATAGCTGTATAAGTCCTTGCGATGTATCTGGGCGCTCAGTTCTTGCCAACTCATCAACTCTTGCTTTCATTGGACCAGAATACATGGCTTGTAAATGCTGGCTAAAGTCAATGAAGTTATCCAATAAAGTGCTCTGCTGTGCAGACACTGCCCACTTAGCAGCTGGTCCCTGCAGTAAACTTATGATGAACCTCACTTTCAATCAATCGGTTGGGAAGTCTTCAAGTCACAAGCTCGTATATAAATTACACTGAGCCCAGAAGACAGGGAATTCAGATAAAGCTTTTCTAAGCAAGCAACAGGACATTTACGTGGGAAGGGTCTGCCGCGGCCTGTGCTGGCTGAGTCAGCATTGCTTGCAGTTGAGCAGTAAGTAAAGCAACCTGCTGAGTTAACTGAGCATTTGCCACCACCAGTTCTTCCATACTGAGCTCTTACAACGTATTTTAAAGACAAAACAAATTTTTACTCTCAGTCAGTTAGGAGTTAATGGGTTGGAAAACAAACTGCTCTGTTTCAAGGTAGCAGACACAGTTGCCAAGGAGCAGAAGCAGATAAGTTGCGAAACAAAGACTTATCAAAGTAAAGTACGGTTGGGAGAAGCAAAAGAGTAGTCTAGTTACAGTGCCAAAGTCACAAAGCCAAATCGGGTAGTCAGCCAGTCCAGAAGTCAGGAATTCAGGATACCCACAAGCTAGGTTTTCAAACGGTGGTTTTCCAACAGAGAATGAAGGCAAAGCAAGCAACATAAATCTTTCTGCTGGCAGCTGGCTGCAATTATTCAGGCCTTGCAAGGAGTCTCCTCGATTGATGCTGTTCTGCTTGCCTCTGCCTGCGCCTGGATCTGGGGGTTGAGGGTCACACCTTGTCATCTGACTGCTTCAGCTGATCAGGAGATGGCTGTGGCTGATCAGCCTCAGATGCATCATGGCTTAATGATTCCTGAGGCTGACATTCCACAGGCTCAGCTGGAGCAACATTGTCAGAGTCAGAGTCAGAGTCAGACTGAATCATGGCTCATGACA